TTTTTTTGATAATTTCAATTTCTTTAGAAAAGAAACCAGATTTTCTCTCGATAAGAAGTAAGAAGATCTATCAATAACATGAAAAGTTTTTGTGAGCTTCTTTTTGTATCGATAGAAGATTTTTCCCTTTCTCTGGAAAAAGGGCCTAAGACAGACTGACTTCGTATCAACTAAAATACGAGTTATGGGACTTAAGAAGAAAAATTAAGTCCTATAACTCGTGTTTTCCTCTCAAGGCTTCAAAACTGGAAACCAGTACCACATTGTATTTAGCACGCGAATGAGTTTCATATAAATTGTATCGTATGAAGATAATAATAATGCACGACAAGGAAAAAAACTCACTTTTTTGCTATTCGTAATTGCGTTGCATTTAACCAGATCCAGCACACCATCCGAAAACATTTCCGTGTGAATGCCTAGATCCTTATGATTCTTCAGAGCAGCCAGAGCTGCATCGGGTACAGCTCCAATACCTGACAAACGCTATAGTTCATATGCAAACACTAGAAACTGAAAGTTTTACTGGTACTTTTCAGAAGTACTAGCAATTCTAATAGTATTAAAGATTGAGTGTACTCTCAAGTAATGTGGAGGTTCAAAAAGCCAGCTACAGGAACCGCATCGAGATTACTACACATCAGGATTAAGTCTTCTTTCAGAATTTTTACTGGCAAAACTCTGGATGTAAATGAAACAGAGCCTAACTATGTTTTTATAGTCTGTCCAATGAGTTGACCCAATATGGTCGGCGCGCTCTTTTTCAAACGCGCCGAAACCCTTTTGCAAAGCGATTTGACGGCTCTTCGGTGTTCTGCGATGAGACGCTTTGCTTTCTGCAGAAGACGCAACAGACCGACATGCGGACAAGTCAGTCGATGAATCGCACACGAGGGTCCGCAGTGCATCGTGGGAAGGTCTGTAGCCGACCAAATATGGGTCAACTTTGGAACAGACTATCCTCAAGCCGAAACTTTCAACAATTTTTTTTTTTGAAATCTTGATGAATATAACTAACCCATTTGTAGTGTAGCCCCGTTGTCGACCAAATTCTCGGCAATTATTCTTCCGATCTTCCTCTCCTCTTCACTGTCCTTTCCAATGTGTCTCTCATGGAGTTTGAAAGTGTGGTCTTCAACCATGACATCAATGTGCGATGAGTGGATGACACTATCACCAAATGT